ATATATATATATATATATATATATATATATATACACAATAAAAAATAGTGATAATAGAAATCATAAAAAAAATTAAGTCTCTGTCTATAATAGATCTATAATCATAAGTCTCTGTCTACAATAGATGATTTAAGTTTTAAGCCATAAAAAATTGACCAATTACAATCGAATGTGAAAAGAACAATTGATTATGATTGATCAGTTTCTCTCAGCTTAAATCATACATTGTAGGCCGGAACTAATAGCTTCTGCACACAAAACGCGACACGCTTGCAACGTCGCAGAAGTCTCCGAAAAATAGCCAATCAATATCACTTTCCATAAGAGCAAAAGAACGATTGGCTATCGCTGTGACAACTTCTGCCGCGCAGCAAGCATTGTCGCGTCCTGTATGATAATATGAAAGTGGCAATGCTGTTTGATTTTCATTTATTTTCTAAGATGGAAATCGAAGAAGACGTAAGTAATCCATTATTATATTCATATTTTTTAATTACAGATAAGTTTTTTACTTCATCGATTAATAAATCGCATTATACGCCAACATTATGCGATTAATCAATCAATGAATTAAAAACACGTCTTATATATTCGTATAATAGACAACATTCTAAATATTAATAATATAACCTTTTAACTTTAACCTTTAACCTTTTAAAACATTTTAACTTTCATTTCAGGAATTTGATTTTTCGGAGGATGCAATTTTCCGCTGCCGCAGCGCCCGCCGCCGCAGCGTCCGCGGCTGCAGCGCCTGCCGTCACAGCACCCGTCAAAACATCCGTTGCCACAACATTCGTTTTCACAAATTCTCAAGGTCAAATAATAATAATTTTCTAATCAGAATTAAATAATCAAAAGACACAATAATGACTCAGGTGTTTAAATGGTAAACTATTTTTTAAGAAAAATTGTATTTTATGTTACAGAAAGACGAAGAGGATCACGGGCGGCGAGGCGACGAGAGCATAATTTTATACAATTTTTGTACGAGTTGGTCTCCGCCGAATATCACTTTGGACAAAGAAGGAGAGGAGGAAGAGGAAGAGAAAGAGGAAAAAAAACATGAATATAACTCGAAAATGAAAAATTTATGAAAGTTATAAATTTTAAGTTACTATGTCAAAATAAATATAATAAGTATAATAATAAAGTATGGATAATGATAGATACATTTTTATTTTAATTATTTTTAATTTTATTTTATTGTAAATTTTCTGACGAAAACAGTCTTCAAACAAGTAAAACATGACAGTGCGTAATTAATATTGAATATAGAATAAAGTGGCATATCGCGATAGTATCGTATACAGATATTTGCGTATTCATTCTAATGCTAAAGGATAATGCTCGAAGGATTTCCGCAGTGAAATTTTTGGATGGTGATATTAAAAACGGTTATTAGTTGGATGTTCGAGGATGCTGGCAAGTTTCACCGGGAAAATTGCGTCCGCGAACGTTGATGTCTTTAGGATCTTTTCATTTCTCTTTTTTTTCTAGATGCTACCGCGATGTGCTCATTAAATAGCCGCGTGTACTCGAGTGTATGCCGAGTCGTGTAATACAAGCAAAGCCGAATATTTTAGCGTAATAAGTTGTACATGCTATCCGTAATTGTGTGCGGAAATGGCGAATTCGGATTCTCGTCGTGGCAGCGAAACACGACTATGTTCTGATGATTCGCGCAGATCATGCGACATTATGACAAACACAGAAAAAAATATAGTATTCAGAAGAACACAGAATAATTTACATAGATATATAGAACGCGAGAGCGAGAGAGAGAAAGAGAAAAAAGAAAGATTATCATTAGTCTTTCTTTCTTTTCTATTCTCTTTCTTTCTATACAAGGATATATATATTAAGGATCATATATTTTAAAAATGTTCGCTGTGAATGAGATGCACTAGCTCTTTGTTCGCATCGCGAGTGCACTCCCATTAAATCTCGCAGAAACTGAAAGGCTAGAAAGTGGAAAGCGCGATAACGATCGATTGGAAGTTGCCCGCGAGTTGGATGCATGCGGAAAAGATATATTCTTTTTTGAAGAACGCTTTCGAATAAATAAATCCATCGAGAAAAGCGTGCGCTCTTTAACATATATTCGCAAATTAATCGGGAAAGATATTCTCTGAAGAATATATCATAAATACTTCGAGTCGATCGTGATAATAATCGGTTGTAACCCAATATCAAGATTGATTTCATAGTTCACCGGGATTGACGACGTTGACTGCGAATGCCGAGTTCGTTTCACCCTTCTGGTCGATCGCACGTGCCACATATTGACCGACATCACTCGCCGTGCATATTTTGATGCCGAACTCGAAGGACGTATTGCCGTCTGAACTGAAGTGATATCTGTTGCTCGTCTCGGGAATTGCCTTGCCATCTTTCAACCAAGTTACTGGAAAATTTTTAACACAATTCAATTTTGCTTACTGATAAAAAAGAAGATTCAGATAAGAATCGTTATAAGGATAAAAATTTATATTTCTGTCTAGATAAGCTGTCAAACATAAACAAGAATATTTCGTATATGTAATTAATTATAAAGTATATTTTATGAAAAATTTTGTTGGATTTAAAAAAATTACTTAAATATTATTTGAATATAATAAATGATTTAAAATTAGTAATGCTCAGTCTACATTCGATGTCCTTGCTATGTAAAACCATTTTACCTTTCAAAGGCGCAGTATCAATCTTGCACATGAAAGTAACCGATTCGCCTTCACTCACTGTTGCAGACTGCGGGAATGTCGCGAACGCTGGGCTTTTCGTTTGGAGCTGGAAGAAATACGAAATGAATGAAAATGAAAATGAAAAGTAAAGATAGGAAAAGTAAAGATTAAGATAAGAAAGGAAATAGAATTAAAAGTAAAATTAAAAGTAAAATCGAAATGAAGAACAAAGATCGTCTTCGCCAATTTTTCTGTGATATGGTTGATAATAACTAGCCGATTCTCATCGAGTATGCTTAACGTGCACGACGAGTAGCTCTCTCTCCTGCATCGTTGAAAGCTTCGCACGTAAGTGCTGGAATCCTCGGGGAATATCTCGGCAATGACTAGCTTGTAAATGTTTGCTTCATTAATGTATTGGAAATCTTTGCTAGGTTTAATCTCCTTATTGTTGTGCAGCCACACTACGTCGAACTTCTTCGCACCGATTATTCGGCAACTGAGCTTCGCCGTCTTTCACATACTTGCTTGTTAAATAGTCCACGATCTTCGGCGATTTGTCATCGCTCTGCTTCTTCCTAGCAGCGTTCTCCACGGCTAAAAACAAATGGGATTAAGCATGATGCATCTTTCTATGTTTTTTTAACATTAAAAGTTTCTATGTGTGATCATTTTTATCTTTTAAAATATTTTTTTTATTAAAGATACGGTTTTGAAATTTTCTTTTTGTTAATTATGCTCTTTATTCTAATGGAATATTGAAGTCAGAAAATATTGTAAAATTTTATTCTTTATATTAAAATAAATGTTAATTTAAAGAAATAGAAAATAAAAAAACGATTGATATTTCTAATCCTTAGAGGTATGACATAGTAAAGCGATATACTAACGAATAAGTTTTTTCATGGTGCTTCTGGATCAAGATAGACTACCAGTAGAGTCAAGTTTCGAGCCGTATTTCTTTATGCTTCGCTTATCAGACATATCGCTGATTTTAACACTCCTGAAATTATATATTTAAAAGCATGTCAATAATATTGTTTTTTATTCTTATCGAGAGTCCTTATTTGATTTTATTTTTAAAAAGTATTATGAATACTTGCGTCTGTACTTTTAATTATTTTAAGAGGTTTTTCACCTCTGTCGACTTCAAAAAATCGCTAATGATTAATATAAATATATTATATTATTTCGTGTATATACCTTATATGATGAAAATCGTTGTGAAATTCTGTTTGCCATTATATGAAGAAGTGGAGTATCCCAAATTACAACTTACTATGTCATAAACATTAAGAATGATTGATTCACGCGCCATTTTTGGAATCAATTCCTCACTATCTTATGGATAACCCAAACAACTGGGGAAAGAGAGATTACAGTTAAGGCCTGACGAAAACATCATTGGGAAATTTGTAAATCCATACAGGGTTAAAGTTGATTATTAATATCCTATTATACCTAATAAATAAACATGTAATCTTATTATTTCATATATTCTATATATATATATATATATATATATATATATATATAGAAAATAA